ATATGCTTATTTGAAGAGGGCGTTGTCTTCGAAATTTAAGGAGTGGTCAACTATTATTTATTTTCGCGCTTGACGAACTTGCACAGACTAAAAATCCTTTTTTCTCTACAATCATCGGTCTATATTATTGCCAGTTTTCACGCGGCATTTGAAAGCCACTAGAAAGACATTTTTGAGACGAACCAAGGATCTTCGATGGGGGTCAAATTTAGAGAGGTTGAAAACTTATCAAAACGACTCAAAAAGCTAATTTTAATATTCCTAGGTTTTCGATACAGAAATTAACCGCCTTTTTGGAAAGGAGGATATTAACTGCCCAAATCGACCTCAACGATAGGTCTTTGAAATTTTTCGGCGTTTTTGAGCCTTTGCATGTTTAGGACCTTTGATTTGCTATGAACCCAAATTCAAATTTAGTAGAAATGTTTTGTATGTGGAGCATTGAGTATTTTCGTATGAGTGAACTTTGACGACTTTACTCACACGAAAAACAACTATTCTGAAAAATTACTGAGTTACTGTCTGGAACCTGCAAATCTGTGACATATTTCATTTTAGAGCAATATAATTTCCGTAATGCTAACTTTTCTAACTTTCGTCACAATAGAAAAATAGAATTTGAATAATGAAATTTATTACAATACCTGTTTTTTACTGCTGTCCGTTCTGTGTAGTGGACGTTATGCCAATCAAGGAAATGAAGACGCGAATATTTAAAAATATACCAGGGCCTTGGAGGACCTAAACAAACCCCGAAATTTGACTGTGCCTTCAAGTATGATTATCGGTTGACTTAGCGTGGCCCATTACTTATCCCTATGGAACCGGGACAAAATCATCACAATGCGTGGGATGTTCGGGTCTTTGAATCGCATCTATAGAAAGTGCTCGTTATATTTTATATATGGATATAGATTTTGCCATTTCTGGCTATTATATTGATACAATGCCAATTATTTAAACGGCGACAATTAGAATCGAGAAAAAAATTGAACCTAATTGTTTCTTGCTTTCTCTTCCTACCCGGTTAGGATGGTGGACACGTTTAATGGAGATGTGTGATATGCACTACTTCTTGTACGAAAAAAAACCCTGTCCGCGAAAGCCATCCAATAACAAATAATTAAAATGCGTATTTTCTGTTTTTAGAACAGTGCAAGCATCAACTACTATAGACTACGATTCAAGATCAATAGCCAAGTGTCTGACGACGATACGATTTGCTAAATCTATACGACATTGTAACGTTTCAGCAACAAATCGTTCGCCATCTAAACTTGATTTTTCGCGCCATTTTATCTACTGTGTTTGCTATCTTCCAAGAATAGGCAAATTTATTTCGCAGTTTTCTATTATTTTTCGACTCGGTTCATGAGTTGAGGTGACTCAATTACACTCCTGAATGTAAAGCTACAGGGGTATACCTACATGAATTAAACTAATCGAATCCGCGAAGATTCCCAGTGATTGAATCTGCGTTCACATGACTCAGGTCCCTGGAGAGGCACACGCTTTTTCACACCTCTAATTAGCTTAAAAAATGGCCTGCCAGTTATTTGTTTGTACTTGGAATGCTGGGTATAACTGAGACATTAGGTATTACTTTGGACAATAAAACGATGCAGGATTAGTGTTCATTACATATAGGTACTGTGGTAGGATAACAAACCAGACAATGATTAAAACATTAAATACAAACGTGGCTGATGTATTTAGATATGTAATAAAGCAAGTTGAATCGAAAAGAGTATTACATTCAATTGTTCCTCTATTTGTAGCCAGGCACTAAGAAGTATATTTTTTTGTCTTAAGGTTTCGTAACTATATATATATATATATAGCCAAAAAATTGCGCCCCCGTTAGGGTAGAAAATTCTACTTGCCTAATGCAAAAACTATGCTGATAGCCGAGTGGCCTTGATCTTCGTCTACCGACAATTCTTTCAATACAACAGACCCAGACTTTCGATTGCCAACGGCTCGTTCGAGTTTATCGCTGATAGCCTACAACAATGAAGAAATTTCCCATTAAACTTCGATGAAACGCTTATGCTACTAAAATATTTAGACTACAAATTCATTTATTGCAGATAGTTTAAAGTTAAGAAGAATCTCTCAGAATTAACTTAAATTTGCACTGTCTAAACTAACATCCGTTTGACTCATAGAGTAAGAAAGCACCTCGCAGATGGAATCAGCGACCTTTTTTCAACTGAGTTTTACTCTGCGTCCTACCGAACAGCGAGCTTAAAAAAACTATGCGTCAAATGTTCCAGATAGAATAGCTAGCGTGTTCACCGGATCTTGTATACATTCACTATCAGTGAGGAATTCTGGCTTAATAATATTGTAAAACCTTTAGTCAGAGCTTTAAAAATTCTGATGTACATTCTAATACAATTGCCAATTTAAAAAAAATAATATAAAAATACACATATCGTCGAGTTTTTTAATATTGTTGGGATCACTAACAAATAAAAAGCAGACTTGTGAATCAGGTAAAGGTACTTAAAAGAATTCTAGACGCAGCCATAAATCAACTTCTAAGAAGAACGTAAATACCAGAGCTAAAGACAAATTAGGTAATTAGTTCTTGTACTTATTTTTGAAACTCTACTTCACATATATCGCTTTCTGCCCTATCTGTGTACTGTAACACTGTGTTGCTCTGCCAGTGCAATTTCCATTCAAAAGAAAGAAGGGGAAAGAAAAAAATATTTGTTAGGTAGCTTCGACACCTTTAATAGTTCTATACATTTTTTGGAGACCAAGATGCAGTCTGGAACATTTGCCTTGTGTAGGTAACAACGTTACAGCGAAAAAAATGCGTGTGGTAGGACTGAAAAACCCGATTCGTTGAGATTGCTTCTATTCAATGCAACGGCGCGGGATTTTTTTGAACTTAATATATTAGGTTCAACAACATGACTGCCGCCAAATAGCGACTATTGGAATCGCCAATATATCTTCTACGCTATAAATCATAGAGATGCGTATTTATAGTTACTCAAGAAAGTATTTTCTGTTAAAGCCATGTTCAGAAGATACAATAAAAACCGCATACAAACATATACATCGTGAGCTGTCCCCCGTCGCCATTCCTTTGTGCATCTGTGTGTTTCAGTATGAAGTGACAGCGATTACGTTTTGCATATATGATTGTGTGTATGATAGCCTCCTACACTTTTCCTTTATGAGCCATAGAAAACGTCATTCCATTTTATGCATATGCCGCTAAGTCAATGACTAAAAATACTATACATAATTATATAATATATATGCATGTGTATTTAAAAAAAAATAGATATTTGCTTACGTCAAGATAATGTTATGCATGTCACATTATGAAAATGTTGTTAATAGATTGCGTCTATTCTAAGTTAAACATCTTTTAGACTCAGGCTTGATTTTTCAAATCTGTTCAGCTCATATACAGTAGCGAGCATGCAAGCTGGTAGAAGCAATGCCACCTATCGTCGAGGTGGTGCGATACTTTTTTCTTGTTAGCGATAGCACTGAAAATACCTATGAATAAAGACACAATTGGCACGCCCTCTAAGCTTCTACTTAAGCTAAAATTACAGCGGCCACCGAAGATTCTACCGAGTTTGAACGTAAGAGAAGGACGCTTTCTGAGTTAATCTGCTTTAATTATATTTTTTTCTGCCTCTATTTTATGTAATATGTATAATATTACTTAGAAAACCAAGAATGAAAATAAACGCACGGAATGTTTATTTCAGAGCTGCAAACTCTCGCCAATTTTTCATGTCGTCAACGTTCCGAACACCCGGTATACCTTTATGGATTGCATCATCGGTGTATATATACTATGGATACGTATGATTAAATATCTATAGCAGGGTACGTAGAATATAATTTACGATTGCTCCGAAATCGACAATGAGAATTATCTTATTATTTAAATTAAACTGGTACGAACGAAACCTAAGGATGTTTACTTTTGATCTTTAGCTGTGAAGTTCGCAGTTCACGGTGTCTTTAGTAAATGGAATACAGTGTGTTATCATGAGGTGCACATCCCAGTGGATTGCAAACGTCAATCCACTATTCCAGATCCATAATTCCAGAATCAAAAAGAATTATTAGAAATCTTTTTTGAAGAAAACATGTCTTGCGCCGGTTATCCGGTTCTAATCCGCAATTTCAATTAAGCAGACACCAAATTGCGCTTTAAAAATGACACATTTGGCAATCTATAAAGTATTTAATAATAACAAGTTATATATTGTATATAATAATAACCTACAAGTTATGCTTTTCAAAAAGTTGATATTCATTATATTATGCATTAGTATGAAAAATAATATTCATGTCTCGGTATAATGAATATCAACTTTATATATATATATATATATATATATGGTAGATGTGTGGAGAAATAGACTCTAGATGTTCCTTACTGAAGGCCTGGCGTCTGATACAATTTTACGTAAAATTTGAAACATTTATTTCAGATGGATGACAAAAGGGATTAGTGTTATGATTATTACGACCGTATCACGGTTTCCACATAAAAAAAAACATATTTTCCTGTGCGAATTGATTTTACTTTTTCTATTCACGACTCCTGTGTAACGTATAATTCTTCCTTTGGACAACTTGAAAAAATTTTAGTGGATTTAATCGATTCTATTGACCCAAATCTATAATAATTGGCACGACTTTACTTCGGTTTGTCCGTGTGAAACCGCCTAGAACCGAGCACAGTAGTAGACAAAAATCACAAACATCATTACTGCACTAGGCCGACTTCGAATAAATGATTGAAGTGCAAATAATGAATGGCCTTCACCAGAGTTCCCCTAAGTTTCGAATATACTTAGTTTTTAATGGACTGGGTCAGTTGTCGTAACTGGAATACTTTTGTTTATATTCAAATCCGGCTGCTGTCATTTTCAAGATGGCGCCTTACATGGGTTCGTTCTGAACGTATTCTTCAGTGAGATTCGGCTATCTAGTCTTGTAGATAAAAATGCCCTCCTAATAACAACTAATACTTTAGATCGGTGGGCCGATTTGTACTGTCGCCTCCATAAATTAACGTAGGTGAAGGTTCTGTTTTTAACAGTAACTGTATTGTTCCAAGTAATCGGAAAAGTGTTGTCAGTGTTTCCGGTAACAGTGCTCCACCCTCTCGTCCCATAGAGGTGTGCTTGCGCTTTTTTCTCAAAACAGTCGGTTCTTGGTTGAGGACGTGGAATACTCTCTATATATAGATTCTACAGAGTGAGTTTTTTTCTACTATTTAAAGTCTATATTTCGTAATACGTGTTGAATTATTCGACATGATTTGGGGATCATTGCAAAATCATTGTTGACAAATTCAAGTTTATTTAAAACAACAAATTATAGAGCAGGTAGCTCTCTCTGTATCAGCATTAATATAACTAGTAACCATACGTTATGCTCGTACAGTTTGTTATAGGCATAGTTGTGCTCATATAATGTCTATGATAAGTTCGTTCGAACACTTTACAAAGAAGTAGGACGAAGCATTCATGCCTAACTGGACAACATATTTTTATCTTGATACATTCTGTATGTAATGGTTTCAATCCAACTTCTAAAATTTAGTCTTTAATAGGTAGTTCTACCTGATTGAAGACTTTTTGTTCGATTGAAGAAGTATTTAAAAAAATCTTATTTGAGTCTTAAATTATACAAAGGCAGTGATTTGTCTTAGGAGAAATCGGCGAAAGATATACATATATATTTCACTATTCTTACCTCTAGACAAAAAGGGTACTCCATACCCGAAATGGAAAATATTGGTTAAAAAAAATCTTAATTAGACCTAAAGCCCTATTCCTTTACGATCTCGATGATATAACTTTAATGACGTTGTCTGGGCTCTAAAGGCCAACAAGTATTGATATGTTCCTTAATGACCAGAATGTTAAATCGAGAGCATAACGTGCACTCGCGCGGACACCGCTGAACTGGAGAATAAGTGACGTAAGGTTGATTTAATTTCACGTTCTCTATACTGTGTTATTAAGATTACGTTGACGATGTTAACTTCTGCATTATTATTATTATTATTATTATTAGTCTTTTTTGTCCTTATTGTTGAAGTTTAATTTATTCGAAGTTACTATAACTCAAAGCAAAAAATATAATCACTTAAAAATATAATGATAGTAGTAATGGTAATAAGGGTACCATTACTTTAGATTAGTGGATTTACACGGAGGTAGACTAGGTTAAACCGTGTTGTGGGGATTGCTCGGTGTTCCGATTATGCTGTGGCCGCAGTTCTACATTGCCGTGGGAGTTATCGATCAGTCGCCGCCATGGCCCCTTTTAGTTGTCCTAGCGACCCTGTCGACCTTATTTACTTCTTATGCATTTTGTCGTATTCCGTGAGTGATGATGATGTCACACATCTGCCTCGCATTTTTTCAAAGACCTTAGGTGATCCTGACATTTATTTATTATTCATCAATGTTTTATAGCAGTTTGTCTCATCCTATATTTGTATGGGCTAGTTAGATAGTAGCAAGCGCCAAGAGGTACTCTACAGGGATTTTGTGTATGAATTTTAGTTGAGTGATACATTGGCTTTGTTCGACGACTTGGCAAATAAATTCCGTGTCTCAACTTCGAGCACGATTTGTAAATTCACTTTACACATTCACTATATGTAAATAAGTAACCGAGATAGTGCATCAAACATATCAGAATGAAATATAAATACAGTCCTCGGGCCGATAATGACCTTTCGTGTACTTTAGCGCTAAATTCAACTCCGCTTGATAAAGTTGAAGCACTGTCATCCTTGTGTTTGGCTTAAGATAAATGTGTGTATGTACTGGGTTACATGACTTACGACTAATTATCATCATTGACTATTCTAGTGTTAAATGACGCTAACCCTGTTAACTCGATTGCAGCAGAGCTATGACTTGTTGTCAGCTATTGTGTGCACTTCCGGCCGCAGCGGCTGTAGTGTTGATAAGCGGGTTGTTTGATGTTGTCGGAGGCCACTTACACATTAGTGTACCGCAGGAATACCTCGATGATCCTACAAAGGACATTTCACATTTGGATGATGACACCAAACTTCGTATCATGCATGCAAGGTAAATGGAGAATTGTTAGGTTTCGAAATTAACAGATGTAACGCATACTTTGTTTGTCTTTACATCCGATACTTGACTCATTAGGTATTACTTCAGATTACTGGCTCCCGGCACAAAAGGAAGTATATTTACGCCCAGAGTTAAACGTAGACCACGTATTTTCAGGCAAACACTGCGTTACCACGGAGACAATACATACTACATAAAAAATATTCAAAGCATACAAATTTAATCCCCGTACAAAATAAAATCAACTGTACCAAGGGAATTTGGCGAGTATTCCAGCTTTCCAGTATAGACGTTTCCCTTTTTTCAGTTCTCATACCTGTCTATATACTCTTGCAGTTATTCGATAATTAAGAACTGCCACTCTTAAATTAACTACCTAAACACAATAATACCTCCGTATTTTTATTTGATTGCTTCTTCTTCTGTTACTTGTAAACTCAAGTCTTTTGTCCGCGCATTTGTACAATTAAACCCATTCTAAAGAGTAAATCTATATAAACGGTGGCTTAACGATTCACGATAATGTAAAATCTCTGACCTGATGAGCTGCACTCTAACTAACTGCTTAATATTAACCTTAGGGTAGTAATTTTTTAATAATAATAATCGTTTCACGGTTACAATGTTATTATTTCCAAGCATACAATACCTCAACTTTAATTAGTTTAAAGTAAATATGGTGCAAAGATTTTTGAAAATTACTCTTTAAGGATGAAACTGTTAAAAAATCGTAAAAATGAAAAACCTCCGTTGGCATTGGAGCTATGGACGAGTAGTGGCAAACGGCTATGAGCACATTTCCAAAAACTGCGAGGTTCTTTGCCCAGTTTTTCCTTCAAACTAATTTGACCGTTTCCAGCTTAGCTTTCTTTTACAAATAGACAATGCGATAAGTTAAATAAAAAGTTAAATATAAGGATAAAAAAAGTTCCAAAAAATACAAAGATGAAAAAGAAAAAAACAACAGTTAAATACAATGCAAGAAGTTAAATACAAGGGGAAGAGACTGGTTGAACCGGTAAACAATGTGAAATTTGTTAATTAAAAAAAACAGACTATCCATTGTAGAAGTGAATAAGAACGTTACATTTGTTTATGTATGTAACATTACAGACTGCCTCATAATTGTTTTTGTTAAGCGGTTTGAGAATAGGCTAAAATGCTGTGGTAAAACGGAGGTTTGCAGCTTGAGGATAAACCTTGTGCTGTAATACCCTAATTAGTTCATCTTCCTACTTACTCGATATTTCGCTGATTCCAGGTCAATGGAAGAATGCTTAAAATTCTGCGGCCATTTTATTACCATCGGAATTTATTGGTTTTGTTAAGATGTATAGCAAGATAGTTTCATATGCCAGTAGCAGGCGAAAATTACGCCGAGTTTTCTGTTATTATTGATTATTTTTCAGGTATCATGAAAAACATAAGGGTCATGATGAGATGCACTTCTGGATGGGGGTCACTTTAATTGTCGCGGTAATTGTCACTCAAATTTTAATTGTCTTCTGGAAGGAATGGCATTACAGTTCCTACAGACAGTTCACAATGTGGGGTGAGTAAAACTCACTGCTTTCATTCCATCCTACTGAATGTTTATTCATAATGAATAATTATGTCCGTTTTGGATGTTGGCATATCGTATCATAGTGCAATTTCGTAGCAAACTGATGAATTAGAAATTCACATAAGAGCATGCTAGTAGTCGGATATAAACTGATCTGTTAAGTTCTATCAAGTAGTTCCATTAGATTAAGAACCGTGCTGTTATGGCACACAACTCGTGCTTGATTTTTTTTTTGTATTCTACATCGTGAACACCTATATTTGATCAAATCTATTGGAACATATTTTCACTTAGCAGACACACAGATACTAGCATCGGCATATGGTACATCTACTTTTTATCAAGTTATTTCGAATTTTAAATCTGATATACTACAACCTTGTTTTTAATATGCTCTTAGAAGCGAATTTCGCGTCAGATTTTGAAAAGAAGATACTATATTCATTGGTCCATGTGCTTAATTAAAAAAAATATAACAGTCTACTAAAATTATTTATCTAAAAGAAATCATTTGATGCTCTGTGGTAAAATCCTATATATTTATATATAGAGACCCCACTGTTTCTGCTTCTGCAAAGATTCTCATATCTTAAAATCTAAGCAAAACACACGTGTAATAGAGCGCAAAAAAATGTGATTTTAGCATAATCCTTATTACTTTTTTTCACAGGTCTTTGGGGTATTCCGTGCATCGTTTCGATTCACTCGGGCTATTGGCGTTTCGTATTCGTCTGGACAATTTTTTCGGCAATCACTGGTTTGATAATGCGCATGGCCTTCCGAAAGCCCATCGCTCGTACCACCCCTCGCTGGGTTTATAAGTGGTTCTACGCGGTTCATCTACAAAGTGTTGGGCTCGGTGTCCTGGGGTAAATACTTCTGCTTTCAATCGATTTCCTTGCACTTCAAGATTCCGTGTACTCTGAAATGTTTATTTAAGAGACATTTATGTATATTTCATTTAAAGGTAGCTCCTTCGGTATGACGTTTCAGGTATATGGTCCTTTTGTCGGCATTACTAGGCTTCTCGCCGCTGTTTTTGATGTCATTGGAAACGGCTTTTGGCACAGGTTTCTTGATATTCTTCTATGGGACTTATTACGGTGTGCTCGGTCGTGATATCGCCGAAGTTGTCACTAACAAGATGGCAGCTACGATAGGATATTACACTGACAGTGGAGTACCATATCGAACACTTGATGCCGATATGTGTGCCGTCTGCGCACAGAAAATACTTGTAACAAAGAATGAGGACGCCGTTGTGGAAGAGCGATACACATTACCTTGTTCACATTCCTTTCACGAATTTTGCATTCGAGGGTGGTGTGTCGTCGGCAAAAAACAAACCTGTCCTTATTGCAATGAAAAGGTTGATCTTCAACGGTTGTTTAAAAATCCCTGGGAAAAGCCGCATGTCATCTATGGACATTTTTTAGACTTTATTCGATATCTGCTCGTGTGGCAGCCGATCATTTTAGGGGCAAGTCAGGGTTTTAACTGGTATATGGGATTTGAATAGAATGGAATAACAAGCAATAAAAACAAGCAACTAAATCATTGTGGGCCTTAGGTATCCGTACAAGTTGTCTCGACTGGGATAGTCATCATAAATAGCGGACCCTGTAAATGGCATAGGATGCGAGTTTACTGTAAATATATCGGATATTGTTGTCGCTAAGAAAAGCAGCATTGTTGAATGCATGAAAGCAGCTATGCTATAGTATGGAAATATTATATAT